GGTGCTGCTACATAAAGAGCCTATGACACTGTTCCTAATATCCAGAGTTTTGCTCTTTTTAGAGTTCATAGGATAATGAGTGCCTGATGGGAAACAGTTTGGAACTGAGACTGCCTAGCACAATGCATGTGGCAACTGGGCAAATGCCAGAATCTCTGGCTCCAGACTGTGAGCGTGTAAGGAAGCTAGCAGAGGCCCAAGCTCAGCCTGGTATCCTTACATACTGCAGACCAGAGAGATGTGAAAATCTTCAGCTCAATGCAGTGCTACCTTCAGGAAGCTGACATTAGGCACAAAACACAAGATAACCTAGTTCAAACATGGCTGTCTACCTCCTAATAAGGTGGTGTCATGTTCCTGTTTTCGTCTCTTTGAGATTAGAGACTACAGAGTGTCAGGGAGCTGTAGCATAGTTTCAAGAGCTGGAGGAGGAGGGCATGGTGGTGTACACCAGTAATCCTAGCACTCTGGGAGGCTGAGACAAGAGGATCATGAGTTCAATCCTATCTTGGGTAACTTAGTGATACCCTGTCTATGAAATGAAATGGGTGGGGGAGTATCTCAGAGTGAAGGCCCTATGTTCAACCCCTAGTGCTGCAAAAAGAGGGGAAAAAGATCTGGAGGAGGCAAGCACCAGGAGGTATGTGGCAAAACAGGGAAGCTGCTGTCTAGAGCTGTTTTTTTTTTTTTTTTTGGGGGGGTACTGGGGATTGAACTCAGGACCTTGTGCTGTCAGGGCAGGCACTGCACCACTGAGCTAAATCCCCAGGACTAGAGCTGCTGTTCTATTTCCTCCACTGATGCCTGTAGTCTAGAGTGGGGGCAGTGAGATGACAGAATGGAGGGCCTACACAAGTTACCTTTCCTCCTCCTTGTACAGTGGCTCTCTTCACTACCGATGGAGACAGAAGACAGCTGGGGGTGGGATCTGGCTTTAAGGGGAGCCATGAAAGTGAGGGAAGGGAGAGTAGAGGAGGGGAGCGGAGGGATTGGCACATTCAGGTGGGTCAGAAATGACAATCTTGACTGCTGTGGATAGAGGGTGAACAAGTGAGAGGGCAACATGGGGACCATCTGCCCACAGCACTACCACAAGAGATACAACTGGTGATTTGTACACTTAGACCTCCTGAGGTTGAGAAGAAAAAGGAGCTCATGTTGGCCCCTTCTAGGGCAAGACTGGGTGCTGGACCACCTGCAGTTGTAATAACTGGCCACCATGGAGTTCCACGTGGGAGTAACCAGAAGGCCATAGGTTGGTGAACTCTGACTGCATTTGAACATCTAAATCCTTGCTAAGCTCCTTGAGCCATAGAGTCAAAGGCATGTGTGAGGGACTAATTGCATATGTGAGGCATACACTATGCTAACAACAGCAAAAGGAGGAAGCCTCTAAAAAGACAAAGCCTCCCCTACAGATGCAGATGTCTTAGATGCCAAACAGTAACACATGAAAGGCTAAAGAAGGTACGAGGAAATCTTGCCTGTAATGTTAGTGCTTTGGGGTGAGCCCAGTAGGGAGAAAAACAGATCACTTAGGATGAACCTGCATAGGGACACAGGAAAGAAACCAGGTAGAGGATTCTGCTCTTTTGTGTCTGTCTCCTAATTCTTGAAAACAAGAAAAACTTTTTCAATCAGCTTAGTAGGATCCTAAAAAACATCCACACAACCTGCATTAAGACATGATTCCCTTTCCCGTTCCTGTTATGTCAGTCAGAACAAAACTTCTGGTGGGAAAAGCACTAGGAAAGGAGTATTCTGGGGAGATGGCACTGATTATACTGCCCTAGGACCCTTCTCTGGCCCATGATCAGGGCACCCTTCGAAGTGTTTGGACTCTCAGGATGTGGATACCACCACACAGAAGCCCAGGCTACACCCACTGTCCCCCTCAGCATCATAACAGAGTGACCAAAAAGGGCAAAAGGATGTCAGAAAGAAAGCAACAGCCCAGAATCTCCCTTAGATTACAGCTCCCAGGATGCAACAACTAAGGGCACACCCTTCTTGAAAGGCATCCTGCTGAGGTAATCCACGCCACAGGAGAGGCAGCGTAGGATAGCCAAACAGACCCCAGGACGGGTCCCAGGAGCAGAGAGAATGGGGCAGTTCCTCACATTGGCCCTTCTCAGAGGTCATACTTGCTCATTATGGTCCCTGCTTGCTGAGATGGGGCTCTGGGAAAGCTGGACAGCTGCTCTTGCATTCTGCACACCCTGGGGTCCAGAGATAGTTTTTTGAGGATTCTGGGCTTGCCTTCTTCCTCTAAGTTGAAGAGGATTTTATCTGCCACAGGTAAGGATTTCTCGATGATAATCATTCTTTCTGGAGTAAGGTGGAATCACAGTGCTGTGTTAATTTGTGTCTCTCTACTGGCCAGACATGTGGAACATTTTTTCCCCCATGTATTTATTGGCCATTTGTATTTCTTCTTCTGAAAAGTATCTATTCATTTCAATTGCCCAGTTTTTGATTGGGTCTTTTAGTTTTTTTGTCAAGAGTATATTCTAGGGAAGTAACTACAAAGTACTTAGGTAAAGTAATTATTTATGAAGATATTCACAGCACATTTTTCATAATATAAAAATTGGGAATCAAAGTAATTGTCTAAAAATATATTTGAGAGATATTTAATGTTATAAAAAACTTCCTATGATAAGATGTCATATGAAAAAAAATCACAGGGTAGTGTAATCACAGTTTGCATAAATGGACCAGAAGAGAATATATAAGCAGGAATTATCTTTTGTAAATAGAACCACAGTTGTTTCTTTTCCTTCTCTATTCTTTTGTTGTTGCTGTATTTTTCAAATTGTCAAAATTGCCATATATTTTATAACCAGAAAAAGTTAAGTCTTATTTGGTCCCATTTTAACTAGAATTTACCTAAAGAAAGTCTTGACCTATTTTTTATTTTTTGGTGCCAGGGATAGAACTCAGGACCTTCCGCTTTCCAGGCAGGTGGTGGAACCACTGAGCTAAATCCCCGGCCCTCTTGATCTTATTTTTTAAAATTTCTATATCAAAAATATCCCATCACTCATTTGGCTGAAAGTTAAAATGGAACCTCCGTTATTTTGCATTTCTCTAATCACAACTCTCATTTCTTTCCATGATGTTATTTCAGCTTAAACTGTACTCAGCTCTTTACAATTTTGGCCTCTCTTTCCTTTTCTTTTTTGTCTTTTTTCCTCCTCTTTTTAAAAAATGTAAATTATGTCTGTTTTTCTTTGGCAGCCTTAGTGTTTCCTCCTTTTCTCATCTGCAGATACAGTATGTACTATTTAGTTGTTCAGATAGTCACCCATTCCCCTTATTTCTTTTAAAAATTTTATAAGGGAGAGGAAGCATTCATGAAATAGTCTCTTCTAAATGTCAGAGTCTTGGTAGTATATTTGCATTTATTTTTAAGTGTTTGTTCCCTTTGGAATTTTACAACTATTTTTCCATTATGTAAGGAACATGTGTGTATGTGTGTGTTCATAGGTGTGCGTGTGTGTATATGAACACACACATAAGTTCATATTTGGTGCATATGTAAGTATGTGTGAATACATGTTCTGGCTCTGCAGGTCAGGAATCATGCCATTTCTTACATACTCTGCAGAAACAGATACTCAGTAGTACTGAGGGCTGCTTTGCCTGTCTCTGATTATCTCCTTTTTAGAGCTGGCCATCAGGGCCTCAGGCTCTAGGCATAGGAGAGGAATACTCTAATCTGCTGTGGTACCCGCAGGCTGGCATCATACTTTAAAAGGTTTGATGAAGATAAAGCAAGTTGAGTTGGTTGTTTGGCCTCTCCAGCTGCTACCTGGATATCATAGAGACAGGCAGAATGACTTTTAATCTCTCTAAAAGCCCTCCATTTAGCAAAAAAGGATACATGTATGAGATAAGATGGTAGAACTCCAGTTATATACAGTACATGTGAATTTGGACTGGATTGAAATGGCAGCTTGAGGAAGGAGCTAAAGATCAAACCAAGAGATTCTTTGGGTTTCAAATAAAGGGCAAGATTTATAAGATGAACATTTGAAAGTTCACATTGGAATTCAAAGTAGGTATTTGTAATTGAAGCAGTATGCTTATTTTATTTTCATAAATCTAAGATCTGGCTTTGAAGTTGGCTCCAGGGTATATCCATCAGCACTGAGCCTTGAAAATTTGTCTGTTAAATCAAATGTATGATGAAAAGCACAAGACAAATATGACACAGCCTTGTAAAGTGAAAACACCTGTGGCTGTGCTGTCGAGTGAGTGTTCAGCTCAATGTTGCACGATGTAGAAAAATGTACATTGATATGCTTTCTGTGACGGAGGGCTCTGCCTTCTCCAGCCAGAGGACAGAGCTGTAGAGAAAAAGACAACCAGTAAGATGAATGCTTCCTCTAGATGTAATTTTCCTAAACCCAAAGTCACATGGATGAAAAATGGGCTTTATTAAATTTGCTTGGCTGGAAACAAGCATGCAAATTGTAGAAGGTTCTTAAAGGTGCCAAAATGAGAGCAAGAGTCCCAATGATACAGTTATGAATAATGCTAATGCTCTATAGTGGCTCTTGCAACTATTAATGATTGGCCTCTGGAAATATTGTGACAAGGTTGGTCTTTTATCCACCCTAGAAGTTTGTTCTGGCTGCTTCAATCTCTCCTTTCTAAGCCACCTTATAGAGAGTGCTTCTTCTCCTTCTTTCCTTCCAGTTACCAACAGCCCCTTCCCAAAGAATGCTAAATCAAGCATGCTCTTGTGCAAATGTAAGATTCGTATTAATTCCATTAAGGTCTTTGAATTTGGTGTACATTTTTTATTTGTGACAAAAACATGTCTTCTGCAAGCAAGCAGGTAAAGCATTTTATACTGTACTTTTGTGTAGGAAGAGCAGGTTTGGTGGAGCACTTCTGTTTGCAACCTGGTCTTCAAATACTACGTGGCATTAAGAAAATAAACAATAAACAGGAATTCCTTAGGTATTGTGAGTTTAGCATCTTTCTTGTTTAAAAGCATCCTCCCTCAGCTTCTTATGATGATGAATTTTAATTTTCAAATAAGGGTGACTTCATCGAATTTAATGTCAAATAAAATTGAAAAAGAAGATGCAAACTGTTGGAAAAGATGGTGGAAACAATTACAGCCCAGGCTTGGAGCTTATTGAAGGTGATTAACTGTCCAGCAGATTCAGACTGTGGTTAGATCATTTTTCTTTGGCTCTCTGCTTCAGTGTGGAGGAGGCTTCTTTGTAACTTGATCTTTTTCATAGAGAGAATGAAACTGCCTGAAGAACAGAACAGAGCATTGGCTAGGGATGAAATAGTCTCAGGGGCTGCCTCAAATAGATGAGCAGAATTGTTTTTTAAAAAACATCTTTTGCATGTCATGCTAAGAATATATGCCTCAAAACACCTAAAAAACCCTGAAAGAACTACAGAAGTAGGAGTGATCATACAAAAGCAATATGTAAGATCACAGAAGTGAAAAAATGCATAAAATTAGACATACTGATTCTTTCTTAAGTTGCAAGGGAGCATTTGATAATATAATCAAAACAGAAATAAGAAAGTTATCAGAAAATTTAATAGTCCTTGGGGGACTGCAGATGGCTATAGAAAATTATTTAGTAACATTGAAATGTCAGATGGAATGTTCTTATTCCTTTGACCTCTCATTTGTTTAAGAGTTACCTTTAGAAAGTCTTACATGACTTGAATTTAGTCCTCTGAACTCTAGTTTATTGTACATATTGTAGATGTCTCCTTCAGTAGCTCATTATGTAGCTTGGCACTCTTGACTAGGCTTTAAGCATACTAAGGTCAAGAAACATGTCTTTTGTGTCTTTGCAGTTTCCTCTCTAGTTTCAGTATAATCATTGTGTTTGCAGATGGTGTTTAGCAAAAGATTCCTGGCTCACAGGATACTTCAGTTAAAAAGAAAAGTTAATAGAAAGATCCCTAACTATGCTGATATTATTAATATTTATATGTTTTGTTTTGAAAAACCTGTGTAAGCCTAGATAAAGCAAAAGCAAGAGGAATAAGTTATAGATATAATGGTGAAAATGTACAAGGCATTTCACTGTTTTTGACAGGAATAATAAAGATGATGAGAGCAATAATGATACCATCTTCTTGCATTTCTATAGATTCTTCATTCTGTGGAAAGCATTTTCATATCACCAAGAAGATGGTAGCAGGTAAAGGAAGGAATAGAAATAAATGCAAAGAAATATAGATATAAAAAGGCAAATGTTCCAAAGAAGATAATAGTCAAGAACAAAGAAATGGAAGGAGAATTTACTAATAATTTGGAACAATTATTAGCTAAGTAGCACATTGGGCAGAGTATCAAATAAATATTTACAGTGTTGGTGTTCTTTTAGCTGCCTATAGATCATGGCATGTTTTGACTTGTCTTCTCTCAGGTAAGTAAGAGAGAGAATGTACTGGATTCTCTAACTCTGTCTCTTCCACTTTCATTCACTAGGGCTGATATTGGTATCGGTATGTCTTTATTCCAGACATTTCATTTCAGATGGTCAAAAAAGAAACAAAAGTGTAGGTGATAATCAACTTGAGCAGCATTTGAATAATTTCACAAAAGCTCAGGGAGGCAGAGAGCTCCACTGTATTTTGTTCTTGTAAAGTTCTGAAAACATCCTGACCAGAGGATGCAGGTCTAAAATTATTGCTTAAATTAATTTATTCGGAAAAAGTTTTAAAAAAGAACATTCCAATTGTATTATAGGATTGATATTAAACCTGGAATTGAACAAAAATGCAGACAAAAACATTCTTCCTGACCTGTGTCAGAGTGCACAAAAGGTCCTACTAACTACTTTTTTACTGCTTAGGCGGGATGAAATGCATATTCAAACTGACCCTTGACTGGTGACCTCCACCTAGCAGCATTTCTGCGAGTGAAAAGCTTCTCTTACTTTTGGATCTGTTTTGTTCAGAAATTACATTCCCTTTAGTTGGAGAGCAGATGACCCACTCTGAAAAGTCAGGATTAGTAAATTTTTGAAAGCAGGTCAGAAAAAAGATATGAGGGATGGTTAAGATAAAACTAATCAAATCCTTGGAAGGTTTCTGCCTTCTCCAAATAAGAAGAGAGATTCTCTGGAATTAAATTGTGTTTCTGTTGAGAACAATATCGTAGAGGCAGAGTTTTAATTTAACTGCCTTTTGAAAGCATGGATCAAGTATTTTCAGGATTCAGAGATCAATAACCTTTGTTTTGCTGTTAAGTCTACTTTCCACACTGAGTTTTGAAGCAGTGTAGAGAGCTCTCTCCTTTGCAAATTTAAGACCTGCATTCAGCCCTAGCTCTGGAATTCTAGAAGTGGCTGTAGTGACTGGATGAATTATTTAATCTCGTTCAGCCTCAGTTGTTTCAACTGTGAGAGGGGATAATGATTTCAGCCTTGCTTTATAGTAATAGCAATAATTTCCATTTCTAAATGTTTACCGTATGTCAAGTACTTGCTGTTCTTTTGGCATATATTATCTTTAAGTCTCACCCATTCTGCAGTGGAAGGAATGATTATCATTCATATTTTACAGTTGAGAAGGCTGATGCTCAGGTCACTTCAGTAAGTTGCTGAATCACAGAGCTAACAAGTGACAAAGCCGGGATATGTCCATGAAGTCCCTGCTGAGTCCTCCATGGAATTTTGAGGGTCATTTAAAAGGACATGTGAGGAAGTATTTTGAAAATGACAAGCTTCACTGTAAATGCCTGTATTATCCTGATGGATATAAATTAGCATATACTTACAGAATTCTTATGAGCTCAGTGATACCTTGGTTCATGAACTTGGTTCTTTCCATGGTTGGAAACTGAGTTGGATGAAAACAGAATCAAATTCAATGGTTAGGTTCAATGTTGACCATATGGGGAAATTTGATTTGGTTCTTATATAGTTCAGTTTGGAACCAGAATCCTGGGGAGAATTGACTTCATCTCAGTACTAAGTACTGAGTAGATTTTATTTAGCTATTTTCCCTAATGTAGTATTGCGTAAGGTATATTAATAAATATTAAATATTTCTAAGTTGGAAACTCTTCCATCCTTGGGGTCAGGTATTAGTTTCTTTTAGATCATATTATTGGAGAGAAAAACAAGGAAGCAAATTTACTAATCAAAAGTAAATGAATGTTTCAAGACAAAAAATGATTTCATGCAATGCAACCCCCCAAATCAGCCAATAACACTTTAAAATCATGAAAGTTGTTAGGAAAACTTCAAGGGAGATGAGATAAACATAGTACAGGATTAGCATATCTCTGCTAAAAATCCATGCATTCACAAATCTTTGGGACCAGCAACAGTTTAACTTCCTCTATCCAGTTCTTTGTTGTTTATTTTTAGTCTATAATGATCAAAAGGGTTGGTAAAACTTACTTGAAGAATTTATCCTTGGTCAGAGATAGAAGACTTGTGTTGGAAAGATGGCTGGGAATGTACCCAATTCTCCTAAAATAAGCATCAAGTTTTGGAAAGCATTTTCTCTTGTGTAAAGTATCCTATTCCTGAAGAGAGAATCAGAATAAGAGCCCCCCATTCCCAAGGGGGAAGCTAAGGTGAATCAGTCCATCAAGAAGACAAGAATTAGCCTTAATGACAGGTTAACATTCAAGACAGATTTTTCCTTTGGTCTTTTGGAAGAATTGCTAATGTCACAATAAAAGTTCATAAAATCTTCTGGAAGAGTTGACTGAGCCCACAGATGAGCTGACCCTGTGTCTTCTATTTCCTTATATACAAGGATTAGATAGTATAATACATGGGCACAAACCAGTCCTTGAAATTTTAATCCTAGATCATTTTCCTTAATATAATTTTCTAGTTGCTCTTTAAATTTCAGTGTGAACTGTTTCTTCAACTGACCCATATAGATATCTTGGGAATGTAGAAAAAATGGCTTCAAATTAGAAAAGATGCTTGCTGGAGACTGTTTATCCAGGCTTCACCAAGCATCTGTGTTGGGTGAAATATAGCCTTTGGGTAACATTTGGGTAAGAACTTCTTGATGGAACGCAATTGAATATTGCAAAGTGGGAGGAGATGACACCATTGAATACCTGACTGGTGGCTTGTCTTTGGTCAGCTTGGTGGGATGAATGTGGGTCTGCTCATTCATATACATTTTCTACATGTGAGATTGGAAAATGTAGTCCTTGTCTAGTTCTCCTGTCAAGGATTTGGTTACCTTTGGGTTTCTGCTGGGCTAAGACAGGGGCCCATTTGGGTGGAAAGGATACATGGCCAGGCTAGAACTGGAACAGACAGTGTAAAGTAAACAAAGCTAATTATGGAAGTGATATTTGCAAGAAGAAAAGCTAGATGCTAGCCTTGCTTTTGCATTGGTCCATATTCTTTCTTAAGTATAAAAAGAAGGCAGCCTTACATTGTCCCTGAAGGCTCCTGCCCATAGCTAGCAAGAACCGTGTCCAGACTTAGAAGCCAAAATGTTGGCCATCCCTATGGCTTAGCACCATTTACCTAAATTCCTGAGCCTGGTGTGAGAGTATTTTTGTCATAATGCCTTTTAACAAAACCTTGGGCATATTGAGAGGCAGAATCAATGTCCTAAGTAAGCTCTGTGGACTCAACTTGGACTCTGCTTTACTTCTTCCCAGTGTTTTCTAGTGCAGCAATTGTGAAGCTTTTAGAGCTTTCAGTGATAACAAATAGCCCACCGCAGAACATATGCCATAGATTTCCCACCATTACTCTAGTGGAATGAGCTCTGCTCGGGTGTCTACTGACTACTATTTACCAGCTGATTTTAGACAAGTTACTTTATGTGTGTGGGCTTCATCCTCCTTCTCCGAGAGAGGGCATCTTTAAGCAGGGTATCAGCACAAGCAATCTACAATTCTTTATGGTCTACTCTTGCCTGGGGAATAAAAATACGGGTTCATGTCTGTGCCCTCTTTGCTCCCTCCAACTTCCCTGTTCTGGGGCTTTTCCTCCAGATTGTTCCAGGTCCCTCCTCTGCTCTCCAGATTTTTCTGTAGAACAAGATTAAGTCTGAATGAATCATTGTTTATTGTAAGATAAACAACAGCTGATAAAGTCAGGGGATGACCTATTTCTGAAGCACACAACCAAGGAGAAGATTATGACTTTCTTTCTTTAGACTTAACCAGTTTTTCTTCTTGTAACATATTTTATGAAACTAATCACCCTGGCAATATGTTGCTGAAGTTTTCTTGGCTATAGAGCAAGGTCCCCAACACACTAGCACATCAGCTTTACAGAGCCCAGACAATGAGAAAACAGTATGGGGTGAGAGCAAGCCCTTGCAAAGAGTTTTGGAGTCAGACTCTAATAGAAAGGTAGGAAGAGGATAAGGATAACTAATTTCTGGAAGATTTACAAATGAGTGATATATAAGAAAAATACCTGAACTCCCTAAGAATCAAAGAAATGCAATAAAAAATAACAATGTTATCATTTACATCCTATCATTTTGGCATCTGGCATGCCTGTGAGTTTGAGGATATATGCATGCTCATGTTGCTGGCTGCCTGGTACAATCTTCTGCCTTGAAGTTGGGTGCTAAGTACAGAAATGTAAAATGTATACTCTCTTTGCCCAACAATTTTCAGCCTGGGATTTATCCTAAGGAGGTAACTACTCAATGCAAAAAATACACTAGTACCGTATGTTTGTAAAAGTATATCCACGGGGGAAAATTGGAACCATATCAGCATTTATCTACAGGAGACTGGCATAGTAAATTACGGTAAATACCTACCTTGAAGTCTTGTGTAGTTAATGAAAATGACACTGTAGCACTTCATATATTGACATAGAAAAAATTAATTGTTGATACAAGACAGGTTGTTAAACAGAATGATTATATTCATACGAAGTTATGTTAATAGAAACGTGAGAGGTTGTTCATTCAAATCTTAACAGGAAGGCTGAGGCTACTTTTGCTTCTTTTTCAATTTAGCTCCCCACTGTGCCCCACTCTACATCCTTAGGAAGAATGTATTTAAACTTTCTTACTCTTGGGCAAGATGAGGATAATAATACCACCCTCTTAGAGGTTACTGTGAGAATCAAGCAATAAAACACATGTCAAACACCTGGGATGGAGAAAAGAAGTATGTTGATTTGTTTTTATTCAGAGTTTCCATTTCCCTTTCATTATATGAGTCCAGACAGCTGTGTTCCTATGCCCACGATTTATAGAGAACAAGCTAAGTGGGCTTTGAATAGCTTCCATTTATTTTAATGCAGGAAGAGCCCTAGTTCCAAATATGTGGAACAGTATTTTCCTAAGGCTGCAGTCTGTCAGAAAATGGCCATATTGAGTCATTGTTTTCTGAAGCCAAGAGAGGAGGTTGAGTGACTGGTACTGATGGGCAGCCTAAAATAATATCTAATTCTTGTCATCCTTAGGCAGTTTAAGACCATGAAATTTTGGATAGATGTACAGTTTCCCTCTTGGTTTGGAGAAACAAAGCCTTGATTGTTTACCCTCTTAAACAACAGAGTTTTGTCCTATGCTCAGCACCATGCAAACCAAACAGAAGACTTCCTGAAGGGCCATCCCATTTATTATGCGGCACGAGTCCAAGAAGTAAGTAGATCCACGAAGCTCCAGCCACCTGCAGAAGGCTCACATCATGGGTGCGGGGAGATGACCAAGATTCACAGGAGCACAACAGTCGGTCAGGTTTGGGTTCCAGTTCTCTGATATTGTGCTAAAGTTGGTGGATTCAGGCACTTTGAAACTCCCTGTTTGCTTGGTGCCCACTTTGTTGTACAAAACAAACAAAATAACCTCATTTTTGCTTTCCATGCATGAAGCCAAGAAATAAAAATGGCAATATTTTGAATATCTTTTACTTTGGGAATTTCTGATCCATGGACAATTATTTCAAATATTCTTGCATAATCATTTCAGAGCTGTGGTCACATGGAATAGGAGATAATTGTAGCTCAACAGTTTTCATTAATGGTTAAATTATCATTAGAGGCATACAATTAACTTGCCTCTCTTCTGTATTCCTCTTCTCATTTCTCTTACCTACACTAAAACAGCTCGTAGGTTGTTACCCTACAGCTACTCCCATACGTAATTTTCATTAGCAGGAGGTCAAGAGCAAGTTGAATATATGAAGGTGGGATTGGCTCTGATTCTTAATAATTATAACTAGTAAGTACTAAGAACTTGTCATCCTGTAGGGTTTGTGCTAAGTGCTCTATCACTGTTTTGATGTTTCGTGAGTAGTCCATGGAAGACCAGTTTTACAAGGAAAGTTGGGGAGTTGGCAATGAAAATGCAGATTCTAGACTTATAGATCAGCATCTTGCAGTGGGAACCACGGATCTAGCATTTTAACAAACACCTTGGATGAACCTATGCCCATAAAATTCAAGGGCCACTGTATTATCTTATAGTGTACATGTGACTCAACGATAATCCACTTTTCTTTCCACTCTTCAGATTTATGTGCTTAAATTCTTATGGCAGATACATAAATATCCTATGAATTATGAGACATGGAGTACCTATATCTCTTTGAGATACTGATAATTACAAATGTGTCTCCATAGTCCAATTGCAGTCTGTGCAATATTTACTGCTTTTGAGGGAGGGTTAAATAAAGAAATAATATCTTGCTTGGTGTGGGCCTACATTCTGGATGCAGAGAGGGAAGACTCAGGGACCATAGGGTGCTGGTACAGGTTGTGAACCCACGACTGGCAGCCCTTGACATTCTCCTTGGTACAGAGATGTGCATACAGGGCAGAACTACTGCAGAGAGAAGATGGCTGATGCAGTGGTGTGATTCCCGGGCCCAGAAAATCCCT